CACCCATGCTTTGCGTCCGGAAGACCAATTCATGGGGTTTTCTGGATCATCCGAGTTATACCAACCAATGATCAGGCTCCCATCGGACAGTTCTTCCACACCTTGACACGTCTCTCGCCCGTTCCTCAGGTCCCCGTAGGAATATTCGTCCAGTCTGTCGCATAAGACACTTCCTGTCGGACGGAAGTTGAATGTCGGATCATCCTCAGGATAACTCAAACAATAAGAGCCTAGTAGAAAACGAAGGACACCGCCTAGTACGGTACCTCTTATCCAGCTTTCCATGGCGGCGACCAAGTGCCATACCTACCCGAAGATAGAATGGATTGAACGCTTGGGGCTTCGGCTGTTGCTGCTCTGATAAATGGGGGCCCTTGAATATCTTTTCTAACGTAGTATATATAGTCACAGATTGATGTAAGGAGCTCCATTGTTGAGCGACACGCCTACTAGATAGGCCTAGCGCTTGTCTCCTAGCTGGATATACAAGTCATCCTTTGGTCCATGACGAGATATGGCCATTTCAATTATTAGTATAGAGTATGGGCCCTTCGTATATAGGATATAAAGCCACCACTATGGGTTTTCATAGCTTCATTCTGGAGGAGATCTACAGTAGGGATACATTAGAGTTCACATCCTAAAGAACTACTGAGCTGTTGGTGGATGTCAGTATATCATTTCCTTCTAGGAATTCTGCCAGTTGTATGAAGTATACAAGAGATACAGGCAGTGATACTCTTACCACCCAGGCTGTTCGTGACCTTCTGACGATCTCTTTGCACTTTACCACAGTAAAACGTTGTGTCACTGTTCCAGCTAAAATTAGGGATTTAAAGTCTATTAAAATAAACGAAGGAAGGAAGATCTCTAGCAGCAAGGTTAGGACCTAGGAGTAAAATATTAAGATAGATAGACCTGATCTAATAGTGATGGAAGGCGTGGTGGTCTCAAATAACCCCTGTAAAAGCTTTGAAAGTACACCGTATAGAGTAGCGAGATGGATAGATATTGTATGGATTTAATAAGTTGTATTATTATTATATATGATGGTAGATTGGAATGCTGATTGCTTAGAACTAGAAGCAGAAATAGAACAGGCCTACCCCGGCCCGGGATCTCCCGACATTATAGGTATTAGTCGCTGTGGTCCACATGGAAATAATAAATCTCCATTACGGAGTACTTTTTTCCATGGCAGACGGTTCATCTCTATTTTTGTTGGCTTCACACGTTTTATTCCCCTAGTCAAACCCACCCTTTCAATTGGAAATTACCTGTACTGGTTTTCAAGGGAACTTGCTAACCAACCTTCTTACAGATTCCGCAATAGTCTAGATTGAATTGACAAAACAGCGAGGACTGAGGTTCACTAGAAGCAAACTGCAACACGTATATCCATGATCTAATCTACGAACCTGGTCCATTGGAGCATATTGAACGATTAATAAAATTCCCTGGGATAAATCCGGTTATTGCTCCGAAGAACCTTGATATAACATGAGGTCGTGACAATCATGAAAACTACAGTAAAACAAGAAACGCCGATGTGGCAAGAAAAATCCTAATTCCCCCTATTATTTGTCTGAGAAGTAAACTTTTTTGTGGACTAACGCTTGAAGTATAACACTTAAGCAGCGAGCTCACGGATCTTCTGCTCAACACGAGCCTTGCGCTCATCATAGGACAGTCTCTTCTTCTGGAACTTCTTGCTCTCGGCCTTCCATTCCTCCTTGGTCTTCTTAGAGCCCTCATCCTCATCCTTCTTGAAGGGGTCCTCACGGATAGCCTTGTGGGCCTCAGTGTAGAGGTCCTCGATGTCACCGGCCTCAACTTCATTCTCGAGGTACTTGTGGAACTGGCCGCGGTAACGCTCCTCATCATCATCGGCAAGACCCTCCATGTACTCAGCGACGTGGCCACCGAAGATGTAGTTGCGAAGGGTCTCAGCGTCGAGCTCCTCGGACTCAATGTCGAAACCGGGGAAACGGCTCTCGGAGTGAGGGATGAAGATACCACCGTCGGAGGCACCCTTCATGGCACCGAAGACACGGGCACCAGTGGAGGTACGAGCAAGACCGACATCAAGGAAAGCCTTGAAGGGGCGGCGGGTGCCGTCGTCGGAATCAGCGGCCTCGGTGAGGGTGTACTCACCATCGGCCTCCTCAACACCGGGGAACTGCTCGTCAATGCCCAGCTTCTTGAGAGTACGGCGGGCAAGGAGAAGACCGGTGGCGTAGGCGGCAGCCCAGTTAGTCAGACCGTTGGTGATTCCATAGCGCTTGAGCTCGTGGGAGTAGGCGCTGGCGAAGACCTTGTCACCCGAGATCTCGGAGTAGACGATCTGGGTGATGATGTCACGGTTGGTGAAGCGGACAACGAGGCGGTACTTGGGAGCGTTGTACTTGTTCTTGGCCTGGGTGATCAGGCGCTTACGGGCATAGTAATCAGTCTTGCCCTCTCTGCGACGGCGGTACTTGGTCTGGTACCGGCTGCGAGAATGTTAGTACTTTCGCGTCCAAAATTCTTTGTTTTACTTTATAAATAGAAGACCCACCTGTAGTAAGCGCTGTTCTTGACGAGCTTGTGGAAGGGCTGCAAGAAAGACACCAGAGTCAGCAATTTGCGCTTCAGAGAAAGTGTATCCGAAGCATCTTGCAAGGACCCGTTTTACTAGTCTCTCAACTCCTGCCCACAGCGGACCGAAAATTGAGACTAATCAAAGGAGATACTGGACCACACAAAGGAGGTCGTCATCCGTCTGAGATAACAGCAAAACTCACCATTTTGACTGTTTGCCGTTGAGAACCGGATTGTCGACGTTGGCTGAAGAAAAAAAAAATTGGAATTTGGTGGAATGACTTTTGTGGAAGACTTTCGCTTAGCGCCGTTCTGCATCCCGCCACAAAACTGAGGTTGGCCACGACCACGGGAACACGTCTTTTTAAGATTCCAGTACTCCGTACTCCGTACAAGAGTATCAAAACGAGAGCATTTAAATACCTATCCTTCAGTTTTGCCTTGTTTAATGGTCGCAATGGATTTTTAAACTGTAGTAGTTTTAATCCTAATTAAAAGGCTTGTCTATATTATCTGACAGCCCCTGGAAGGTGAAAAAAAAAAAAGAAGAAGAAGAAGAATAACAGAAAGTATTTGGTCGCTATACTCCGTACCTCTACAACATCGCCCGATACAACAATGAAAGACCAGTAATCTTCTCCAACTCTTGAACTGCATCCTGCGTCCGTCCCAAACTCACCTTAACCGTCCTCATCCCCACCTTCTTAGCACCCTTCAAATTCTCCCCGATATCATCAAAGAAAACAATATCCGAAGCTCCAACTTCTCGCAACCCCTTCTCCTTCGCCAACCGATTCATCTCCCGAATCGCATACTGATAGATCTTCGGATCCGGCTTCCTCAGCCCCGTATGCGCCGATGAAATAAAAAAATCAAAGTGTCCCTTAACCCCACTCTCATCTGCATTGTAAGGGTGACCATCAGGAAACACCACCGTATTCGACAGCGCTCCCAGAATAAACTTCCCTGAGGCCTTTAATTTCTTCAATGCAGGTGCCATGTAAGGGTCCGGGGTCCGCGATACCCGCATCATTTCCCAGAAAAGGAATTCTGCATCCAGCTGGGGTAGAGAAGGCAAAGCACCCGTGGTCTGCTGTTTTGAGAGTCTTTCGTGGAATGTCTTCCATAGGTCTGGATTGCTTAGATCTTTGTTGAATTCTTTGAAGAAGGCGGCGTCTATTTTGATTTCGCCGCGCTCTAGGCGGTGCCAGCTGCCATTTGGGGATGTTCGGGAGATACTAAAGTTCACCCAGCCTGGAGGGATTTTGTTGGCGGTTTCGTAATCTAGAATTGCTTGGAATGGGGAAAGGACCTGGTGTTCGTTTGTTAGTGATGGGTTCCTTTGGGATCGGGCCTGGTGCACATTGCTCTACGTACACAGACTCCGCCGATGTCGAAGAGGAGGCCTACGGGCCTTGTGGTTTCGGTCATGGTGCTTTTACTAGTCAAAATGGATTTTATGTCGGGTAGGTCTGTAGGACTGAATGTTGAGATTGGTATATATTGATAGATGTTGTACTCCGTAGTGTACCTCGTATGCAGAGAACAATTTTGCCGAGGTTAGATTTAGTAACTCGTTATCAGCCAGGATCACAGACCGAGGAAAAAACAAAACAACTACTCCGTATCTACTCGTCTAAAGCTACGGAGTACTCCGTACAGTTACAACTTACAACATCCATCTACGTATGTAGCTGAAATAGTTCTACTGAGAGAGGCAAATATGAATTTACTCCATACGGATTTGTTAAATATGATATAGTTTGTACCTCCAAACAGTATGGTATAAGATTGCTGTCGAGTAAATTGCCACATAATTGACTGCCTACAAGAACTGAATGATAGTATACACTAAAGCTCAGGTTAGGGATTCGCAATATCGATAGGTTACAGCATAAAATTCTAACACTGCAAAGCGAACTGACAACTCAGAAAGAGTCAAGAACCCCCCGACAAGTGGGTCGTCTGCAGTGCCTTGTAGGGCTGAACGTACAAGACAGTAGATGATCGAGAACCAGGTTAAATATGGAACATAGGGGAAGGTAGTACACGAATCAGATATACTGCATACTTTTTTGCCCTAGATGGTCATTGGGTTGTACTGCGCAGAAAACACATATCGCACATGGACAGCGGCTGAGAAGAATAAGAATGTCGACAAGTCGATGCCTAGTTGAAGTAAAGGAACTTTGTTCTGCTAGGTCCGGGTCGGAGAATTGGTTACCATTTCCAGCTTACGAGTCAATGTATGTTAGGTAGTACAATACCAAGATCAAAAATGAGTTTTCATCATTCACTCGATAGTAAATACATTTCCGAAGAAAATGGAACAAGTCAATACTGGTGGTAATTATTGTACAGAAACATGATTGTAAAATAAAGACATGAGGTGCTTGAAGAAGTTTGTCTTCGCAACCAACGGCAAGGTGGCCGAGTGGTCTAAGGCGCACGGTTCAGGTATATCTGGATCTTCAAGCACAACAGCTTCCGTGTCATGAAAATGGCGTGGGTTCGAATCCCACCCTTGTCAGTTTCTTTTTCTTCTTTTTTTCGACAGTTTGTCGCCGACAGGAAGTGCTAGTAGCTCCAGTGAAAGACATACTATACTAGTTATTACATAGCAGCATATTGCCTGCTTGATTGATGCCGTTATTTTGATGGATTTGAATGGAGAAAATAAATACTTCAAGTTAGAATCATGGCATCCAGAGGTTAGCATGAATACTACTAGTACTCCATACTACTCCGTACCTTGGAAAATATATAGGGTCGTGTTAAAAGGACCTCCTGTAAAGCCATTTGGACCGCCTACCAACCAGATATAGTTAGCTCCCGGCGCTAGGCCTAAACAGGAAGGTGGAATTTGGATATCTAAGAAATTATACTAGTGAAATTTTATTAAAATTATTAAAAATATAGTAAGAAGTAATTATTTTTGTACCTATTTTGATTTCTATACTAAAAATACTTAAAACATTGTATATCTATGTCTTTAAAAATAAATAATCTTTCTAACTGGCTAGATAGTTATTCTATTATCAATTTTAACCAATCAGAGACCTTGGATAAGAATAATAAAGTGTTAAGTAAAGTACTTTTTTATTTTTGTTAATTTATTTTTTTATATGTAAATCAATATATATATAATCCTAAGTGTACCGGGTACATAAGATACAAGCGTACTCAGTATAGGATCGCTGGTATATATACTATCTATGCAAACGACTTGATATTATTAAGTCATTTTGTTGAATCTTTTAGCTCAGCGGGTAGATGGCTGAATTATTAGGTCGGAATCACATACGGAGTACGGAGTACGGAGTATGTGCAGAACCATTAATTCTGCCGTTTTAATTCCTTACCGCTTTCTATTTAGGCCTAGCACCGGGTAGGGAGGTCCAAATGGCTTTACTAACCGTATTAGGCTTAGTGAGCGGTCCAAATGGCTTTTTGGGAGGCCCTTTTAACACGACCCAATATATATTTAGCGTATCGGGCCTAAGGCAACCCTCAATGCTTCAATCAGCAGCCTCAGTATCATTTAACTTCTAATATATAACAAACAAGTGACGCGTTGAACTATATGTACTCAGTAGTAATCAAGCAACTTCAACACCATGATCCATACCTCCTAGAATCGCTCGGTAGTGGTGGTACATACCTGGTACACATGGTGAGTATAGGTTAGTAAGTACGGAGTATATCTACAAACCCTTACTAGAATGTGCTGGGAAAAACTATTCCCGAGGCTGCTCAAATCAGCTCCGGGCTCCCTTTACTCAATACCGGATAATGTTCGCAACCCAAGAGTTGCATTCAAGATAATTTGACAGACTCCCATCTATTCTTGAATTAACCATACTTCCCCTACTATCTAGGTGAATCCATTCTGTGAAGGTAAGGGGCTGAAATATAGCTATGTCCTCCGTACGCTGTAACTGTAATTGCATTACAATCCCACTGTTCTCTGGGCAGAAGTCGATTCGACACGTGATCTGTTATCGATAGCACATCATTAGTTGTCAAAGGATGGCGATTGCGGAGAACCAAGAATCGGCACGATGGGGCAATGGACTCAACGCGTACCATTTCCGAATTGAAATCCTCCTTCATCCGGGCGCAGGTGCGTATCCTGTCGGAGAGCCTCGAAGCGCCCGAGGACTGGAGAAGCTATGCCGCCGCATCGGAGGAGGATGACCTGAGCGATAAGGTGGTCGGGGATGTTATACAGAAATGTACGGTTCGTGGAGATTGTGGCCCTGTGCTATTACCATTTCTTTTTGGAACATTCGCACCGATCTAGTCACCATTCGCGTCTTCATTCATCACTGACTCATCTGTAGTAAATAGCAATTTGAAGCAACATAATCGCATAGTGTACTCCTCCCAGGCGATCCAACATGTCGCACAACAAATTGCCAGCCTCTACTGGTCATCTGTGAACCAAGCCCTACGTGACCAGAACTCATTCGACAGAGGAATCGAGAAGACGATCGATTTGTCCAACCACATGTGAGTCTGGCCTCCCGGCGCTCTCCCCCCTGGCTGCAAGAATCCCTGCTGACGGACGCGTTTCAGGAACCTTACACAACTCGCAGTGGAACTCGAGGACCCATCTGCAAGTGAGGAAGAACGTCTCAGGTTGGGCTACAGCGTGGTGATTTGGGTTTCATCTGGCTGACGGGTCGCGGTTGCAGGTACCAGCAATTACGAGAACGTCTTGTTGCTCTCGATAACCAACGGCAGCAGCGACAGCGGCGTCTGGACCAGTTGCGTCGATTACGTCGCCTTTTAGAACCGTTTCAGGAACCACAGCAGCATATCCAGCCGAACCTTGTTACTCGGGGGGGCGAATTGGTGCAGGAACTAGAAAAGATGAGAATGCTTGTTGCACGGGTCGGGGGTCGCATCCAGCACAGTAAGAAGCGTGCTGAAAGCCAGGAGGATACAGCTTCGTATCCGTTGGACTCTGACCAAAAGCTGGAAGCTCTACTTGATATGACTGGATGGTATGAATGAAGATGTATGACGAGAAGAAAAAACAAAAAAAAGAACAAAAAAGAGAGACAGAGGGTGAGAGAAAAAAAAGCACGATTAAACATACGGAGCAAACCCCGCTACTTTTGTAATGATGACTTTAAATCTAGGTATGTATATGTAAATATATACGCATTCAATGTATGAAATGCTTGAACAACCAGTCAATCTCAATCTGGGGTTTCCTCAACACCAAAATGAGAAGGCACGATCCTAAATTTAACAGCAACTGTTTGCTTTCTTCAGCAGTGCAAGGGATGAGAGGCAATTGGAAGAAAAATCACTGCAGCTGCACCACTCACAGAAGGTGCCTGTGAAGGCAGAAAGGATTCCCTACCTTCTCAGCAGGGCTGTCTTGAATATATTTTTTTTTCCCCTTTTATATTCATCCCTGATAACAAATTCACATACTCACTCCATATTCCCAATTTCCACCTTTACCTGAATATTTTCTTAACTTGCTGAGACGCATACTGAACTCTAGAACACCCCACCACCTGCAGAGTTGTTCTAAGATGGAAATCGGTAGTATATTGACCGCCTTCAATGAGAACCCGGAGGATCGGAGCTCTAGCTCCGAGATTCCAGTGTTTGACTGTTTGGGTGATAGTCCAACTGCTGAAAGTGACACTGCTGCTCCTAGACATAGAGTGCGATTTATCCTTCCTACTTCTTCTTCTCATTCTCCCGGAACTGTTGCTGAAACTATTTTTTACCCTGGTCAGCCAACCAATATTGACGAAACCTCCCTACATACTCCTACTCGGCGACCTTTCGTGCCTGGTCACCGTCGTCGCTCCACGCACGTCACCCGTCAGGACCTGGACCGCTTCAGAAGAGAAGTCTTTGGTATCGAAACCTCCGGTTTCGGATTCGAGGACGAATCATCCCTGCCAGCTGTAGACCCCTCAATTGACCCTCAGCTGGAGACCCTCAATCGTGAATTCGAGGCTGTTTCCCTGTCTATGAACAGTGGCAGTGCGCCCGAAACCGTTGCCTTTTCTAGTTACGTCGACAACGCTGATAACCAGTCCAATATGACCAACGTTCCACGCCCGCCCATGTCGCCCGCAATGTCTCATACTCCCAGTCAGGTCAATGGTGCTGGAATCGCTGGTATGAATGCCGGAATTCCTATGAATGCGGGCCACCAGATGGATCTTCACCATCTCTACGACATGGTCCTAGAGTTGAGCGAGGTTCTCAAAAACAACCGCCACATGACCCAGAGTATCGTGTCCAGCGCCGAAGACATTATGGTATGTCTTGCTCTACGTTGCCCACAGCTCAGCTAACGATCACCCAGCGACGTTCTACCTCTGATGGTGCCCCGCCCAACTGGCAGCAGGTCAACGGCGAAATGCCGGGTAAGAATTCTGGCTAATCTCCATTTTCTCGCTTCTTTTAGCGACTAACGACATCAGCAGCATCCCGGATCACCGAACTGGAACGTGCTCTGGCCAGGGAGAAACGCCTGAACGAGCTCCTCAGGAATGAGCAGATTGAAAACACGAAGCTCATTGGCGAGTATGAACAGGCTGTAGGAAACATGGTGGAGCAAATTCGGAATTATTGTCAAAACAACAACATGCATTACTTAGCTCAAAAACGTCATTACAATAATCTCCTTCAAGCCGAGCGTGATGCACACCTGGAAAGCCGACTGGATCGTGACTACTGGCATGCTCAAGCGATGAAGTGTGCTGAAATGATCCGGACCGCGTATCGCTTGCGTTGTGAAGAAGAGAATGTCCCGGTACGCATCATCGCTGGGCTGCAAAACGAAGTGCGCGCATATCGCAATGCTTTAGGAATGGAACCAGAAAAACCCGAGGACGAATACGGATGGGAGGTCCTTAAGGACGTTCCTGGAGGCCCTGTCCCTGGAGAGTAGCTGGCGAGCTAGCCAGTTACATTCTTGCTTCTATTTTACGAGCTATGACCTTTCCTTTTACGCATTCTTTTGTTCTTGACAGGGAGTTTTGGAGCGGCTCTTTGGGCGGCAACGGAATATCCTGGTACAGATACCCTTCTTAATCTTCTTAACATTCTTATCCGTTCCTCATTCGATGTATTCATAGCAATTCTTACCCCCTGCTGGCAAGGATATGGATTCTGGATAATACTTTCTTGGGGTATCCAGGTTTGCCGGTCATTATCTGGAAATCTTTGGGAAAAGTTTCGACGAATATCCTGCGCCTGGAGTTGGCTAGTACTTAATCTTGTCTCCACCAGCGGTTGACTTGAGTCCCGCCAATGGAAATATTCCTATCTTGGTACACGTTCATTTTCATTTCTCGTAGGATGGAGATAATCTTCAATCCGTATAGAAAACCTCCTCCAACAGCTTCCACCACGAAGGCCCCTCTGCACTCCCCACAGCCCCTGGAGTCGGACTCTCTTGCATTCCATCCGTCATCGTCCACCACTCCCTCACCTTCGGATTGGCCTTCATCCGCTCCATATCGCCCTCAAAATCATCCCCGACATATT